GTGACAAGACTCGTGGTTCGTTCGTACTTTTTTTTGCTTTGGTGGAGGAGCCGCTCTCTCCGCGACCGTGGATTGCAAGCGATCAATCATAACAATCAATTGCAAAGCTAGAAAAGAGGATCAGATCTTCTTACTGTTACTACATTTATCATCGGAGCCTTCCGATGAACGGTCCGCGTGCCTTTCATTTAACGAATGGCCATGTCGGACCACAACAAGGCGAACAAACGGACGAATTCCCGACTAGGGAAGGGGAAAAGGACCCAAAAAAAAAAAAAAAAAAAAAAAAAAAAAAAAAAAAAAAAAAAAAAAAAAGCACATCCACATCGGTCAGTCATCATCATCATCATCGTCAGTAGTCCGTCCCAGAAAACCTTTCTAGTCCAAAGCCAGCCAGTTCCAGCACGGCCGACGGGCTCCACCGACTCTTTGTTGTTGTGGGGGATCGCACCCTATGACGATATTGCGGTCTCGCTGTCGTGTCACCGCAGACCCTCGTTCCGGCCCTTTTCCTTCTTCAGCAGGCCACACAGCGAGTCCGTCTTCCTTGTCTGGCTCGTCTGGCTCCTCTCTCGGCCCGGAGTGGACACCATCGCTGGTTATTTTCCGTCCCAAGACTCGACCTCTGCCAATCACAGCCATGGAAGGCCTCTGGAAGCCTGGAAGAAGTTTCGAATGCTTCTTCGGCGTTTCTAGCGTCAGCACTAGCCAGGATTGCTTCACTTTCGTGGCTCACCCTCGCCAATGAGCGCTCAGAGCCGGGGGGGCTGTGTGTTGGCTGCGATTCCTCCTGCATTCCCGACCTCCCCCATCCAATCTGCGCGGACTCCTAGTGGAAGATCATAGGAGCGGGCTCACCTGATGATGTCGCCGTGGGTGCGTTCGTGTTGCTTAGCACCGTCTGGCTCTGGCGGTTTTGGGCTCATGGGTGGAGACCACCGTCCTGGCCTAATGCAAGTGCGACGTATTCCGTAGGTCGACCTGGATCAAAGAATTGAAGAAAAATGTGGTTATAAAAACCCGGGGCCCAGTCACGATGGCCAGGCAAGTCTTCCATTTTTCTTCCAGAACAATTCGGCCATTGAGCTGCTGGTCCTGTCCCTCCTACCAATTGATTCTTCCCCATCCTACACTCCATCATGTTTGCCTCCACTGCAATGGTATGTTTTCCCCGATCATCAGGGTCTCGATCCGTCTCCACTCTTCCCTCCTCCTCTCACCTCTCTCGTTCGCTCCCTCGCGCGTCACTCCCCAACTGACCTTCCCGCCGCAGCACCACAACATTCCATCATGCCCTCCTCTCGAACAAAGATCCTATTCGGAAAGCAGTGATGACTCCATGCAATCGACTTTCGGATATTTCGATAACACCATGTACACCATGGCGGCGACCGATCTGCCCATGACCCAACCTTCCTTCGAACCATCCTCCTACGACTCCACCTCCTTCACATCATCCGTCAATTCCTCCCCTTTCAACGCCTACTACAACTTCACTCCTTCTCTCATGTACTCGCCGGAAACATACACTTTCCTTCAAACACAAACACCTCCGGTGCCTGTACCGGGCGGGGAATGGGTTGCACCGCAATCGACCACTCCCAACACTGAGGTCGTATACTCTCCGGAAGAGACTTGCGACGCATTAGACAACTCTAGGTATGGTTTCCGCCCTAACAGAAAAATTTTCCGACCGTAAACTAATAGACCTGGCCAGACCCGTCAAACCCTTCTCGTGCCGCGACTGCGGCAAGGCGTTCACACGTCCCGCCGACCTGAAACGGCATCACACCAGCGTTCACAACCCCGTGTTTCAGGACTGCCCAGTACAAGAATGTCTGCGCAAGGATGGCAATGGGTTTCCGCGTCGCGACCATCTGATTGAACACTTGCGCTCGTTTCACCACTGGGACGTCCCTAAGCGTCGGACGACCAAGCGGTCGCGAACCGATTAGTGTCATGATGCCTTTTACTCTGCCTTATACCCTTTGCGTCATGATGCTGTTGAATATACCCTTCTGTTTGTTGCCGGGTGATCCACCTTGGCACTTTACGTCCGTCTATGTCCGCTATGCTTCTCATGTCTATGCTTATGCTTATGCTTCTTCATGTTGTCGATGACCCACGGACGGTATGGCGTTCCGGACCTCATTCTATCTATTTTCCTTTTGGCATATACCATTTCATTTGGTTTTCTTATACACATAGACATTGTGTACCAGTCACAAGTTTATTAATATATTACCTTCAACATGTCACAAGATGCAACATCTGTCTTCTCGGGAGGAACATACTGGTTTCAGCGACGGCAATGTGAACGAGGCCAGTGTAATTCGCCACGCCTGCGCTGCAGGTAATCGCATCGGGTAGTGGAACAGTAAGATATAACTAACTTCCAACATATCGGCATGTAACTGTCCTTATTCCGCCCTAGAATCCCCACCTCAGCCTGTGGCACACTGACACTCCCCTAGCGACGATGGATGAAACGCATTTTCCCGTCTTTCAATCCACCGAAATAGTGAACCGACAATTGTGATCCTACAGCTATGCTAATTGAGCCTGGTGCTATTTTTATGATGACTACCGGGGTGACACCAGAAGCAACGTTTGTGCGCCATCGCGGTAAGTCTGGGCTGGGCCTAACGGCAGTGCATCGCATCAGATTCCATCCCGCTGCCATCCCGGCGAATGCTACAATTCCATCATATTCAAACGCATAAAGAATCATGAATGAGACGAACCATAGAATGGCTAGATTTCTCCAACCATGGAAGCATGCCGTGCCACACCAGTCAGGAATGGAGACAGTCATGTGCACGGAACCACCCGATTCGTCAATTCGAGCACAACGTTGCGGAGTCAAGTTCCAGACCCCTCTCTCGCTCTGCAGTTCTGCATATAAAGAACAACGTTCTACGGTAGCATCAAACGGTTGTGCCACCATGTACTTTGCTTCCATCTAGTACTACTACCTACCCACCAAAACCTCAAACCACTTTGTCCTTGTTGAGTGATCAATTACAGTAAATATAAAAATAGCCATCCACATTACAAAGGAAGATCAAGCTAACCCAACACAAACAGTATCTTGTACCCCTTTATCGCTGAACTTAATTCCCTATTGAGTGAAGTTTCGGACACAAAACAAAGCAGAGCGGGTACCTCATCCATAGTTATCTCATCTCATCTCATCATCTCATTTACTACTAGTACTACCCAACTTCATTATCCGATAAAGATCACAAACGAACGGGAAAAGGACAAAGAAAGTTATCTCATCCCACACCAACACAACATATTCTGTGTTCCGTACCTTATTTATCCTTCAACGGTCGAACATCAAACGAACAAAGAAACCATCATCATCCTTGCCCCTGTCTACTACTATCTAAATATAACATCCTCACACAAACAACGGCAGTCATCACCATCCAATCATACTTTCAGGCGAAATACTACATACCAACAGAGCACTGAGCCTGTAACCATGGCTTTACCGCAAACACAACACCAGCCACAAGAACAACAACAGAAGACTATTACACAACCATCCCCACAACCAACAGAAATGACGCCAGTGACAGACACCAAAACAAAAATGATCAAGAAAATAACCAGACACCCCACCCTTCCCTCACACCGCCGTAAAATCTACCTTGCTTTGCTATCCGTCCCCGCAGGCCGCTGGACCACCTATGCTGCACTTGCCAAGCATATTGGTACTAGTCCTCGAGCAGTTGGGGCCGCGATGCGTCTGAACCCCTTTGCACCGGAGGTACCCTGTCATCGGGTGCTGGGAGGTAACGGGAAGCTGCTGGTGGGGTACTCCGGTGCTGAGGGGTCAGGAGGGGCAAAGAAGAAAGCGAAGGATGGGGTCGGCATGAAGAAGAGAATGTTGGAGGAGGAGGGGGTCGAGTTTACTACGGAGGGGATGGCGAGGGGGTTGTGCTTTGAGGGGTTTGGAATGGGTTCGTTTGCTGTCACAAAGTGATATGAAGTATGATTCCTCTCATGGGATGGTTCCTCTGTTGGTAGTATGGAGGTCTGTACATTATGGGAGAATGTGTAGGATAGCAATGCTTGTATCTAATTGGTCTAGAATGAAACTGACAAGCTCACGAGAATCTAATCAAATGGCACTTAATCAAATGGCACAAAATTCTTTCAGTTGGGTAGTCTGCCAGACTTCTAAATCTAATCGAAATCTCACCAGTTCTGCTAGAAACCATACGGGATGTGTCCTGACACCTTACCAAACTTCCTCTGGTATGAGGCAAACAAACGCAGACGATCCAGAGAAGAAGCCTTCAATGTATCGATGATGGAATGCAATACTTTTCCAGTAGTTGGCAAATAGTGGGAATGTACTAAATAATGCTATATATAGTTTGCAAAAAAATCCATTTGATAGACAGTGAGGACACTATCAATTTCCACTGGATACTAAACTACTTACTACTGATTGCTACGGTAAAGAATCGTCATTGTCACATGACTACATGTTCCCTCCTATTCTGTATGATTAGACCATCTAGTATAGCTTCGAGGACCCCTCTTCCTCCGCTACCTCTACAATATCATCAATAATCATACAGTCGCTTCAGGTAGCTGCTACAGTCATATGGATTGAACTAGTCAGTACCGTCCAGTCACCACCCCCCCCCCCCCCCCTAAAAAAATAGGATGATAGCAAGTTCATGTCCTTGCTTCTCTTTGCCTAGCTCTGCTAATGGCATCACTTTTACGTGGATTGTTGTTTGACGCTGGCAAACCGATAGCCTACTAACGAAGCCAAGATCCCCCTACTACTCCGCAGCAATATACTTAAATCTTACGTTTCCCTGGGCACTCACCACATGGAAAAGAAGTCTCTTCGCCATTTCTACTTTACGTGATGATCATATCCTTTCTGGGACGCTAGATTATAGTACGCTGCAAATACGCTTCACACAGCGAAAGATATAATATGACAGTGATAAGCATTTGCATAAGCAAACATGGCAACCCCGCTCGATCCCTTCTCAGCCTTGTCAGCCACCGTCCCATATCAGGCCTCGCTGCCACCTTTCTTCCCAACATTTTGTACCAGCTATGAGATCTATACCTTCCGCATCCAATTATTCGCTAAAGGATTACGTCGCACCTACCACCAGAGTTGCTACCAGGGAGAAATTTCACACAGAATGACCACCTCCCTCTGGGCGAGAGTCCTCTCCGCCCTCCCAGACAAAGATCAGCGCATGTTTCCCACGTCAGGCATTGCATCACCACCAGTCTCACAGACATTGACCGACATCATCACTGCAATCGAAATGCAGCGCGATCGTTGCAAACGCCACAAATGGTCGACCACCACCATCGGTGGCAAGGAGATCATCATTCGTGATGTATGCGCGAAAATTGTAGCTTGCGAATTGTAGCTTGCATGAACAAGTTTGCTAGTGTGGTCGATATCGTTGTTTCCTATGACCCGGTCCATGCGGCACTACCTTGGGCAGGAGTGCGCTTTGTGCTTCAGCTGTTCTTGAACGGAATCGATACTTTCGGTGCTATTGTGGAGGGGCTCGAGACGTCTGTGAGGGTCATTGCGCCGGGTGGAATACTCGAAGGTTCATATTATCAGAAGAACTCTGCGCTGAGTGAAGCAAGACAGGCCTTGCAAGATGAAATCGTCAAGTGCTATACAGCGGTCTTGAAATTTTTGTCTCTGGCGAGGAAATATTATCAGTGCTCGCGAACGAGTATGTTGGTTTCAAGACTTTGTTTCGTTGTTCAGTGGCCAATATTTGGTGACTTGAACGTGCGGTTGCCTTTATGTCCAAAGACGGTTTTAGACACTGCACCAAGGAAATAAAGAGTGCCGAGCAGCAATTTCTGATACAGAAGGGGCTCGCTGATAGCGAAGGTGAGTCTAGAACGTCAGGATTGAGATTTGTTCGACTAAACTTTATTCTAGACCTAGGTAATATCGAGACACACGTTTTGCACACCATCCTTATAGCTACATCAACGGCGGACCAGGTCAATGATATGAAAGCAAAACTAGAAAAAGCCCTCCTGGACCTTGATAAGCCAGTAACACGAGGTGTGGATCAAGTTTCCGACCTTCATCGAGCTCTGAAAGGTATTAGCCAGCTGCTTGACATACGCTTCCACACAAACCAAACATGTTTAGACAACGAAAGGGACCAAACCCTGAGCTGGATAACATCTTCGTGAGGCATCAACATCCAACGAGGGGGACCAAACCCTGAGCTGGATATCAGCTGTCCCGGCTCAGAAACATCTTCGTGAAGCATCAACATCGCTGATGCCAGGCTCTGCAGAATGGCTTTTCCGTCACCCTGAATTCCAGGCATGGAGCAATTCTAGTAGCTCTGAGGTGCTTTGGTTGCATGGGACACGTGGGTTGAACTATGATATTCCAAAGTTTCCCTATCAAATTGACAAGAAGCCGGCTGCGGAAAGTCCAAGATCGCGTGAGTCTGCTCAATTAGGGACTAACGACGTTAGCCCTTAACTGATACAGACAAGTGCTGCTGTTGTACAGCATTTATGCCTTCAGGCTAGTAAAGTTCAGCATTCCCTGCCGATAGTACACTTTTTTTGCTCGAGAAACTCGGCGGAACCAGAGCGTGGCGATGCTGGTGAGATACTCCGATCACTCATAAAGCAGCTTTCTCTATCCGCTAGTAACGATCTGATGAGGACTCCAGTCATCGAGGAGTATCGGAAACGCCTTCAAGAAGCGAATTACTATGGTGAAGAGCCAGCTGCTTTGTCTGTAGAAAGGTGCACCGAGCTTTTGTGTGAGCTTGGCCAGTCAGCCTCGGTCATACTAATTATCGATGCTCTTGATGAATGTGATTCACAGCGCCAGCTCTTCTGTATTCAGCGGCCACGAGTATTCCATCCGGCCAATTGATTACCGTGAAATGCTCTAGTATCTGCACAGTAAAGTGTTTGTACTCTAATGAGCATGGATAACGGAATACTTTACTAAAGTTTTCACCGCTATACCCCGCATGGATTGCCTCCGAAAGCAGAGTGCTCGCGACCTTATGCCAGCTGCGATCAAGGCTAATCTGTAGTGCACTCGTGAACGTGTGATGCTCAATGTAGCCCCATGGATCTTGAATAAAGAGCCTCTTGGCTATATGTGCATGACCATTGTAACACGCGGCTTGCAAGGGAGGGGCGTTGAATATGAAGGTGAGCTCCGCTGTCAAACAGACATGATACAGCGGTTTTGTGTCCCTTTAAGGCAGCAAGATTAAGGGGGGAAACTTTGACAGGCTCTCGATGTTGTTGAAGCTCTGAGTCTAGGCGGAAACTAACGCATCGGGTTGTACCCAGCTTGATGTAGCTCCAGTCGAGTTTGGAGCTTCACGTAGTTCTGCACGGGATCCGCGGGCCCCATTTTTGTGCCATCGGCTCCCGATCACTTCTATACCAACTCCCTTTTTCTAATCCATGACGACTATGGAGTCCTTCACTTTGCCTTTCACTGTAACAGCGGATGTTTATTAGGCAATGAGTGCCCTTCATCAGTAATATGTCTGCCGATGTCAGTAACAAGGACGTCTCAATTGTACGTGCCCGATATAATGATGGCCTTCCACTGCTACTAATCCCATTCAGGCAGCAGGCATCAGCGCAGTTGGAGTTGAGCTACTCACCCACCCAATCGCCACGCTCATTACTCGATTACAATCACCTACCTACGCGACGACATATCAGCATGTCAACAGCAGTATCAACCCAGCACTGTACCGAGGGTTGTATCAAGGATTCGGCCCAACTCTTATCACGAACATCCCTGCATCAGTCGCGTTTTTCACAATCTACGAGACTATGAAATCAACACTTCAACCGAGCGAAGGCACGCAATCGTCAAAATCCGACGAGCTAGCCACGTACGCGATCAGCAGCGCGGTAGCTGATTTGGTGGCCTGCGCCATCACTAACCCCGCCGAAGTCCTGACGCAGAATGCCCAGGTCGTGCAAGCTCAATCCAGCCATAGTCGTTCGCCACTATTGTCGACTGTCAGGCATTTTTCCCGGCATCCGGCCAAGCTCTGGGCCGGGTATACGATGCTAGCTGCTAGCCATCTCCCCGGGACGAGTCTGACCTTCTTGCTGTATGAGTATCTCAAGACGGGTTGGTTTGAGGTCCCGCAGAATTGCAGTGAGATTAGGACTTATTTCAAGCGAGGGCTTTACAGCGGTGCACTGGCTAGCGCAGCGGTTTCTCTGCTCTTCATCCCGGTTGATGTAGTGAAAACGCACTTGAGGCTTGCGGTGGGTATGCCCACCTACTCTCGACTGCCTTCAAAGGCAGATCTCCGCGCTACACCTGTGTCAGTGAAGGTACAGCGGGTATCGTCCGGGAATGCGATGGCTGTTACAAGACGCATATTAGCGAAGGATGGCATACGAGGTCTTTTCCGAGGTGGGGCCTTGACGTGCCTCGCAGCTGGTCTGGGAGGTGGTTTGTTCCTTGGGTGTTACGACGGTTTCAAGGCATACTTTGGAGCGCACGTGTAAGTACGCGGCGCCTCAGTATGCTAGCGGCTCTTTCCACTCCTGGTTATGGATCTGTATAATAATGTATCTCCACTCTTTGTAAAGAAATGACGCATACAGAGATAAAATATTGGCGATTTCAGTGTCCTTTACAGCCTAGAACGTACGGCTGCACTGCTAGACCTCGGCAGAACTTCGAAACCGCTGAGCATGTTGGAACCTCTACCCGACCCTCAAGGCCTTCCATCATCAATAGAACCTCTTGATGTTCACCCTCAATGGGCCCTCGCACCCGCCAAGACGAAGTTTTTGCATAATTCACCATTTTTGGATGCATAACCACCGCTGACTTATTCTGGAGTATCTGTTATCCTTTTTTAGGTCTTAGCTTGGGTAAGGTATTCTTAGATTAATCTCTGTTTATCTTACTTATTTATATCTAGTTTATGCCCATTGAATTTGCGAATTCTTGAACCTCTTGAACTACCCATGTATCTATCGAAGCCTGAAAGACAACCCGCCATATTTATCATTCTTTGAGGTATTGATAATTCCGGATCGCTTCAGAGCGTCTCCTTACTTTGACCCAGTGACGTGAAAGCAGGTGATACTATCGAATATAAAGGAGATTTTGAACTATATTGGCATGAAGATGAATATTTCAGATAATATTGAGAAATAAGAATAATGGTAGTAATGGTTATAGTGGTAGTAGTAATGATAATGATAGAAAGAAAGAGATAACAGAGTCAAAAAAGAATTAATTGTACATCGTCAGCGACAGGATTCGAACCTGTGCACGCGAACGTATCAGATTTCGAGTCTGACGCCTTAACCACTCGGCCACACTGACTAATATGTTATCATCTTGAACTTGATTTGCTTCTGTATAGCTAAGCATAGCCTCGGAATTCCATCATCCATTATGCTGCTATGCTAACTATGGTCATAAGGATATCTTTCTCCTCTTTGGGCGGCCCACCTGCTGTCGGTAGGCCAATAGCTGAGAGATATACTAAATATAGTAAGTACTAATTGTATATATAATCCCTCTGATGGTTCTACTGGTAGTACGTCTAGGTCTAGCAACACCTACAATACTACTTATTACTACCTGCCTCAATACCAGTAAAAGTCCTCCAGGTCTTTGACTGAAATATATCAGGCATTAGTAATGGCAGTACTAGCCATTGAAGGAGCAGAGTCGTCTAATTAGGATCTCACATTTGGATAGTACATTGAAAATTTTATTGGTCCTGTACTTCTATACCTTTATCCGATTCTGGTTTCTGTATAGCTCAGACAGATACCAGAATCCTTAGATATCCTTTCGCTTACGGGACATTACCACTCCATTGTCATCTGTAAATGCACCCCCAGTAAAACTCTTCAATGCCGGGCAAGCTGCAAGTATCCTGGTATTTCGGTGATCAATGTCGATGAAGCGCCGAGGACGAGTATACCGTGATCCAGAACACATATGCACTCAAACATTCAATATATGATAGATGGCATCAACTTTCCATATGTGTCACTTGTCAAATGAAAGAGGAGCTATATTCCTATGAATAGAATGGCTTAATACAACAGATTGTAGCCAAAACCTTGATCCAGGGATGTTGTTTCGAGATCCGTGCTCTGTTCCAGATTATAAAACACATCACTTCATAGCTATTATATGTTGAGGCATCTGCCGGAGTAGGCGTAGTCACGTGCCTGGCGCTCAGACCGCCCACGAACGACCCCTTATCTTGACCGCTAGATCACCTAGATAGCTACAATTCAAGACACTCTTTTGCTGCAATTCTCGTTCGTTTTCGTTGCTTCGTTGCTTTGCTTTGCTAGTAATCTCGCACCTCAAAATTATATTTATATATGATAAATTATACAACTTGTCAAGCGTGCTAGTCAGTGTGGCCGAGTGGTTAAGGCGTCAGACTCGAAATCTGATACGTTCGCGTGCACAGGTTCGAATCCTGTCGCTGACGATGTATTTTATAATTATATTTTTCTAGCTCTGTTATCTTTTTCTTTCTATTATCGCCGAGCACTCTACTTTCGGAGGCAACCCATGCGAAGTATAGCGCTGAAAACTTTAGTGAAGTATTCTGTTACCCATGCTCATTAGGGCACAAACACTTTGCTGTGCAGATGCTAGAGCATTTCACGGTAATCAATTAGCCGGATGGAATACTCGTGGCCGCTGAATACGGAAGAGCTGGCGCTGTTGATGTCTTGCTGTCATGGGGAGCTGATGTGGCAGCTCGCAACAGATGCGGCGAATCAGCAATAAACCTTGCTGTCAATCAAATGAAGATGCAAGGTGATGACATAACTGATAAAAAGTTTAGTTCTGGTCCTTATTTTGGATCGGGTGAGGATACGCCAGACTACATGCGTACATTGGCCGCCTTGATCAATGCTGGGCATGCGTTAGATAACTTCTCTTCCATCAATGATGCACTCTCAGGACAGGACGACTAGACATTCTGACGGCGCTAGAGAGCTCTGTTTTTTCAATATTCAAAGAGCTAGGTACATATTCTGAAGCACTCATGTTGGTCACGTCTAGGCGCCGAGCAGAAATGCTTCGTTATCTCTTGCTAATACGAGCCACAATCCGACCTGAAGCGCTTTTTGTTCAGCCGCTTGGACATAAGGCCGAAGAACAGTTGACTTTCAGGGGACCATCTAAACGCAAGTTCAAAGCGTTGGATCAGATCGTTGATTACACCGATGTCCTTCTGGAACTCTCACAGCACGACACGCAAGTGGCTCGCCTGAACAAGGAGCCATTCAGGGAAGCAATGCAGAATGAACATGTGGAATGCGTCCAAGTATTTATCGACTTGTTTACCAATGATGATAGACACCGTGCAGCAATCTGTACTCACCTACTTTCGCTGACCTTGCCCCATGTTGAATTGCTTACATATTTTCTCAGCCAGGGTGCTGACCCAGATACACGGCATTTTGATACTGGTGAGATTTTGTTGCACCGCGCTGCAGCCAGAGGGGATGAGAGTGCACTCAGGGCTATTTTATCTTCTGGCTCACAGGTTTCCCTGTAATCAGGCGAACAAGGAACAGCCTTGCACGCTGCTGTGGTGCAGGGCTTTCATGACGTAGCCGAAATTCTTCTTGAATCACATGCAGACGTCAACACACCATGCACCCTTCTTGGGACATCGTTGGCCGCAATCATGACACAGAGCTGGAAGGACTTTCGTGATATCTGCCACCGAAGATGTGCCAAGCTATTGCTGGAGTGGGGTGCAGATATTGATAGCTTTGATGAACGGCTGGGGACCCCAATGGAGGAAACCGTGAGGGGGCGGAGCTGTTGCTTGAGAGGGGAGCACTGGAGCCTGAAAATTATGATGTATCCCATTCGCAGGCTCGATTGGGAACTGGTCACCAAGGTGTCTGGAATGGTTCATATATGGCATCGGAGTTTCTACCCGTACCTAGCGACTTGGAAGAGATGGCCGAACCGGTACCATCTGGTATTGCACGTCTCCTGTGAATAATATAGATCATACTCTTTCTGTGACATACTTGGTCTTTTTCGAGCTTAAGAAACCAACGATTACTTCGATCAGATGAAAATAAGTTTCGGATTGTTATCCAATTGTCCATCCGTTAGAACTAAGTACTGGTAAGAAGTAACATGATATCAGTACTTAGTCATGGTGGCCCCGTTAAGTATGTAATGAATCGGGCGCTACACTCCCCTCAGTTGAAACTATATAGTTACTTATACCAAGTGCAGACTCCCATATGTTTTGTTCGCAGTTTCCCTTGATATCCAACAACAAAACACAGTTACAATTGGAGCAACTATGCATCCCAAACAATTACCAGATCTATGCTATGAATCAATTTAGAATGTAGTATAAGCTGCCTACTGCACACCCCTCTTAGTCAGCATACACAGCATGATGTCATGTGCTTTCGCGTCCCGCCCAGTCCCAATTGGGAAATATCACGCGTCTGCCTACTCCAGGTGCATCTTTCTGCCTTGAGCTCGTCCCTTTTTATGTCGAGCCAGCTGCGGCATCGAATGGATCTGAGTCCATCGATCAATCTAGTCACTTTTACTGAAAATGGCCGATAAAGAGGCAACTGTCTATATCGTGGACTGTGGCAAGTCCATGGGAGAGCGCCGTCATGGTCGCGAAGTGACGGATCTCGACTGGGCTATGCAGTATGTTTGGGATCGCATCACAGGGACGGTGAGATTTCCTTTTCTACAGAGTTCTGTCATACTTGTAAGCTTATGTTTGGATAGGTGGCCACCGGACGAAAAATGGCTTTGATCGGTGTTCTTGGGCTGAGGACAGATGGTGAGTGAGCCTCTTCCCGACGGGTAATGTAGTTGATGGGTCGGAGCTAATGCAGGAACGTCTAGATACCGCGAATGAATTGGAGGATGATCCTGATTATTCGCATATCTCTGTTCTATCTGGCATTAAGCAGTATGGAGCATCCTTGCTTGTTGTGTTTCTGGTGACTCGCTGACGACGTATAGGTTTCTCATGCCGGATATCCGGAGTTTGAGCGACCGGATAAAGCCTAGCAAGACTAATAAGGGAGATGGTGAGTTGCAGTCCTTTTGAACAGTGATTGGAGTCAGTTGGGCTTTAGCTGATTAGTATAGCTATCTCTGCGCTTGTGCTTGCGATTCAGATGATCATCACTCAGTGCAAGAAACTGAAGTATAAGCGCAGGATTGTCCTGGTTACTAATGGGCAGGGCCCGATGAATCCGGATAATCTCAGCGAGATAACGAAGAAGATTAAGGAGGATAATATAGAACTGATTATCTTGTTAGTGTCGATTGATACACTTGGGGAATGGGGCTACTAACATGCTGCAGGGGACCTGACTTTGATGACCCTGACTACGGAGTGAAGGAGGAAGATAAAGATCCGCGAAAGGTATTCCACACTGTTCCGTCTGCTCTGAACTGCTAATGACAACTACTACAGGCGGAAAACGAAGCACTCCTGCGTAGTCTGGCTGAAGACTGCGATGGAGCTTATGGAACCCTAGAACAAGCTGTTGCGGAGCTAGAAACACCTCGTGTAAAGAGCACAAGGATAACGGCAAGCTTCAAGGGCCATTTACAGCTAGGAAACCCCGCAGAATATGATACTGCAGTTCGAATCCCCGTGGAGCGCTACTACAGGACATACGTTGCGAAGGCGCCGTCGGCTAGTCAGTTCACAGTACGTAACGAAGAGGAGATGGAAGCGGCGGGAGCGGGCTCGCAAGATGGTAGTTCTCTTGTAGGTGTTCGAAACAGCAGATCCTACCAAATTGACGATGGGACTACTGAAGACGGAGTGACAACCGTGGATCGAGACCAACTTGCCAAAGGTTACGAGTACGGGCGGACATTGGTCCCTATCAGCGAGACGGATGAGAATATCACCACCCTGGAGACATTTGCGGCTATCGAACTTCTTGGGTTCATACAGAGCGATCGAGTAAGTTCTACCCTCCATATCTGCTGTGTGCTGCTTAGTTAATCTTGCTATTAGTATGATCGGTACATGCACATGTCGACGACAAACATCATCATTGCGCAGCGCGCCAATGACAAGGCAGCACTCGCTCTTTCCTCCTTCATACATGCACTCTTCGAGCTGGAATCGTATGCTGTTGCCCGTATGGTGCTGAAAGAGAACAAGCCCCCTGTCATAGTTGTGCTTGCACCATCAATCGAACCCGACTACGAGTGTCTCCTCGAGGCGCAATTGCCATTCGCAGAAGACGTACGAACGTACCGCTTCCCTCCACTCGACAGGGTCGTTACAGTGTCTGGTAAAGTGGTGACGCAGCATCGCAACCTACCCAGCGACGATTTGCTGAATGCAATGGACAAATACGTGAAAAGCATGGAGCTCACTGATACGGACGAGAACGGGTGAGATTGACCAAAAGCGATCTCAATTTCCCTGCTGACTTCATACAAAGTGACCCGACGGAATCTCTCCCAATCGACGACTCCTTCTCACCAGTCCTGCACCGCATCGATTCTGCCGTCCGCCATCGTGCCATCCATCCTAACGACCCTATTCCTCCCCCTGCCCCAGTCCTAACAAAGTTCTCCCACCCTCCGGATGACCTCGTTGAGAAGTCTAAGAAATACCTAGACAAGCTAGTAGCAGTATCAGACGTCAAGAAAGGTCAGTCCCTTCCCCCTTCCCCAAAATCCCTTCATACTCACAGCGATGATTCCAGTCCCACCAAAAACCAAGGGCACCAAACGATCCCGTGAAACGGAGAAGCCACTGTCTGGTCTCGACGTGGATGCACTTCTCCACCAAGAGAAGCGCACAAAGATCTCACCCAACAATGCAATCCCCGAATTCAAGCAGACGCTCTCGCAGGCAGAGAACATCGACACAATCAAGGATGCAGTGAAGCAGATGAGCACTATCATCGAAGACCAAATCAGACACAGTCTTAGCGATGTTAATTATCCTCGGGTCGCTGAGGGGCTAGTTGTGATGCGGGAGGAACTGATCGATTATGAGGAACCTGCGCTGTATAATGATTTCTTGAAGCAGCTGAAAGAGAAGTTGTTGAAGGAGGAGCTTGGTGGGGATAGACGGGAGCTGTGGTGGCTGCTCAGGAGGAGTAAGTTGGGGTTGATTGACAAGGGGGAGTCGGATCGGTCTGAGGTGGAGGAAGAGGAGGCGAAGGCGTTTATATCTATGGCTGCTAAGTGAAGACTGGGGTATTCTGAGACGGCTTCGTTCACCGGGAAGAATATAATAGCCAGAACTGCAAACCAGACTCTTATTTTTACTTGTCTAATACTGGATAACGGTTGGATTATGACAAACGAACAAGCTTCAATGCTGCATGACTGTGCTCGCTAGAGTACAATATCCACGATAATCCTGTGCGCTAAGTAACAAGGCCTATTCCGTGCCAAAGTAACACACACACATAACATATAGTACCAATTCGATGAACAATATAGGGGATATCAACCATGACCATGAGTAGAAATAGACATCACAAACAAACCATAGCATCCTATCCACATCAAGAAATCCTCCCAATCCTCTTCTTCCCAATATCAATCTTCCCACCCAACCTGTACCAACAAATTAGCAACCCTCCCACCAAAAAGAAGCAATAAATGAAATGTGGAAAGACATACCTGGTAGCATCTTCATCCGCCAAATTCAACAACTCATTCTGCACCTGCAACTCATTATTAATGGCAATCCCCAACTCCTTCTGCCGATTAACAATCCTCATCAACTCATCGACCACGACATCCTGATCCTGCATCATCTGCTTCTGCAACTGCACCACCCCACTATTATCCAATTCACGCGTCCTCTCCGTCTCCCTCCCCAACACCCTCCCAGACGACCGAATCGCCTTCTTGCCTCCCTGCGTCCCCATCAACGCCTCCTTATCCTGAATCGACGCCACCGCACTATCAATCCGACTCTTCGCCGCCATGGCATTCAATAAATCCTCCAGCCCATCTTTCTCTTTCCTCGCGTTAATCAGTAGATCCTTCCGTCGTCGCATCTCCCCTTCCCCGAGGGTATTGTTCCCACTAACGCTCCACGCCGTGGCAGTTGTAGCGGTATTCCTGCGCCCGAGTTTACTACCCGGTCTTGACCCTCCCCCTGCATTATTTCCCTCCCCACCAGAAGTAGATGTATTACTCAAATTCCTCAACCCACTCTCCAAACTCCCTATCAACCCCCCAGCCCTAACAAGCTCACTCTTCGCCTTCGCCGAACTCTCATGCTGTCGTTGCGGCGTAGTCTCCTGATCCCGTCTCGTCAAATACAACCTCGCATCATGTAAATGTCCCTTCATATCTCTGAAACAATCCAGCCAGAGAATCGGGTCCGTGATCCCTCCGCCTTCTGAGTCGCCGGGGTCGGTGATTGCTGCGTGGAGTCGTGTACTTGCCCCATTACCACCACCAGTGCTGTTGTTGTTCGAGGGTAGGCTAGGAAGATTCAGGAATGCCCGCCATGCGGGACTGTTCCGCCATCGGGGATCGTCGCTTTCGTTGATGGCGCGGAGGTAGGCTTCTAGTGCTTCGCGGCGGGATTCGCGCAGGGTGGCGTTGTTGATGGTGTTCTGGAACCAGGATTTCGGGGGGAGGGGGGCCGGTGGGGGCGCATTTGTCTGGGAGGTTAGGGTATTGTGGAAGGTCGTGAAGTCGGAGTAGCGCTTTGAGATGGTGAATGAGCGGAGGGGCAGGCGGAGGGTGATGTTGTAGAGGGTGTAGGGAGGTTGGGTTGCGGAAATGCTGGTTGTGGGGATGGAGATTTCGAGGGTTGTGGGGGGCATTATTGTTGGGTTTTCTTTGGTTTGTGGGTTTGGTGTGCTTGTAGGGGTTGGTGGTGGTAGTGGGTGAGTTTATTGGGGCATTGTTTGCGTTGGAT